TGTCCACATTCTATTGATTTGTGCTTACTGGAGAAAGTGCAATACCTGAAATTCAAAAGTAAATTTCTCAAATGACAACAAACATTACGATTATCATTTTTGAGAAAAAAAATAATTTTTTATCAGTTTAACCATTATACAGAATGACGAAAATGTGACTAATATTTCATTGACTAAAAAACTTGACTAAAATGCTAATACATTTCATTGAATAAACAAAAACAGGACAAGTTTGTCTAAATATGATAACTAAAATGTACATTTGAGTAAGACTAAGACTAAATTAAAAATCGCTGCCAAAATTAATACTGCTGTACGGTTAATTAATAATAATCTTATTGCTAAAATGTCAAGTTTTCATTGACTAAAACTAGACTAAAATACTTTACATTTTCTTGGACTAAAACTAGACTAAAATGTTGAGACTTTTAGTCGACTAAAACTAAATAGGATAAGGTTGACTAAATATGATAAAAACTAACAAGGACATTTTAGCCCGAGACTAAGACTAAAATGAAAATAGCTGACAAAATGAACACTATGTAATACTATGGTTGTCATTGGATAAGAAATCTTTTAAGCCTGATTCTTTACTGCTCAGTTCAAATAGTTAGAATGACATACAAATACCTAAAATGAGTTAATATGTACTGTACTGGTAATATAGTTTTATATAATTATTTCACAAATGCATATAGATAATTAAAATCTTTAAAAAAATCCTTATAGATTCTAAAAAGTTTTGGTAACACTTTACAATAAGGTCTCATTTGTTAACATTTGTTAATGCATTAACTAACATGAACTAACAATAAACAATATATTTTTACAGCATTTATTAATCTCTTTTAATGTTACTTAATAAAAATGTTCATGTTAATTCATAGTACATTAACTAATGTTAACATACAACTTTAAATTTTAATTTATCAGTAAGTTTTGAACTTAATATTAACTAACATTAATAAATGCTATATAATTATTGTTCATGTTAACTAATATAGTTAATGAATGTTAACAAATGACACCTTATTATAAAGTGTTACCAAAGTTTTATATATTGTTTTCTGTGTGTGCGTGTGTTTCACACTCTTGATGTTATAGTGTAACCCTTTTATTGCTGTATCCCTTAAAACCAGACTGCCAGAGGGTTACTGTAAATGCATGTGCCCGCTGTGCACTGTTTTCCTGATGCCACCAGGGTGGCGGTTGCACTGGCTTGGGCCCATCATCGCTGCTTGCATCCAACAAGCATCCAGTTATCATCCAGCATCCAGTGTAGACAGAATCGCCGATTATAAGGGGTTCTGTTGTCTATAGTCGCGTTGCGCCACTCGCGTCCAGTGTAAACACAGAGTAAAATTAGCAAAGAGCTCCAGATCGTGTCAGTGAAATGCTGTTTGTTTGTTTGCTTTAATTTGCTACGGATTTGCAACAAGACAGTATGATGCAGGCTTTTCAGAGAGACTGAAAGTAAATGATGATGCAGTGCTGAGTCTGACTAGAGTGGATCCAACAGTAATGTCGCAACACATAAGTGTGAGTAAACGTGTTTTTACCACTATTTCATTGCCTGTTCCAGACCGTTTGATATATACTGAGTATTTATAAGTTTTTAACCCAAATGACCCATGTTGCATTCAGACTGCATCACCGCAGCGTCCATCTGTTATTTTAATAAGCGAAACTGTTAGTCATTCATTCATAGCAGTGGGCGTTCACTTGCGAGTCTTGAATGTGCCCCGCCTATAAAAACAGACCTCTTCTGCAGAGAGGCTCAAAAACAGGATAGAAAATAGCCTATTACTTCTAAATTATGATGTTTTTTTTAATGTAAAATCACACTAACATTATAAGTGAACCTCAGAGAATGTTATAAAAAAAATAAAAAAATACAAATAAAATGCAGTTCATGACCCCTTTGAAAGAAGAAACAAACCTTGAAAAACTCGAACAACTCCAAACAAAAGACCTCCATTCAGTTCTCTTTATGCGAAGACATGAATACTGATGATTAATTAAATCATTGATCTGAGTGTCAGAGTATCATGTAGCCTCAGAAGCTTGGAAGTTTGTGTTTTAGAAATGAGTTTTCAAAGGCTGACCATGTCTGTAATCACAGGGCCAGTAGGGGAAGCTGCACAGGCTTCTTCAGACGGAGATCAGACTCCTGACAAGAACAAAAAGAAGAATCGATGCTTCGCTTGTAGGAAAAAAGTTGGCCTCACGGGTAAGAACCAAGGGAAGAGCTTTTTGTTCTTGAATGAGGGCTGGGACACACTTTTAGCAGACTTCAAATCTTACAGTATACAGCTTTACTGCAAATCTGTTTATTTTCCTTTTTAGTTGAGAGAGTCAGCAGATGGTCTCCTTCTAGGTTTTGTATTCCAGCTCAAATATTCACTTTTGTGCAGTCTTATTACCATTCCCTATGTTTACACATATAAAACATTTGCATCCATGCAAACATATTGATAATAATAAGAAATGTTTCTTGAGCACCAAATCAGCACATTGGATTGATTTCTGAATGATCATGTGACATTGAAGACTGGAGTAATGGGTGCTGAAAATTCAGCTTTGCCATCAAAGAAACAAGTTACATTTTATATATATATATATACATTTATAAAAAAATATATATAAGTTGTTATAATGTGGTCAGCGCAGACTTTTAAACAGGCAGGTGAAACACCATCTGGGCCTGAAGCTTTCCTATATAAAGTATAATAATGTAATATAATGATTTTTACTGTATTCTTGATCAAATAAAATGCAGCCGTGATGAGTATGAGACATTTGCAAAAACATAAAACTTACCAACCCCATTGTATAAAGATCCAATTTTGGACGGGTATGCTTAAGGAGCTTGAGAAAATATTCTGCTGCTCACTACAGCTAGGACCAAAAGCATGTCTGTTAGGTACAAGTCAAAAATTCCCCTTTAAATTCCAAGGAGCCCATCTTCTTCAAGTACTATTACACTGTGAACGCAAATGTATGCTTGTATGTTGCATAACAGACCAAATTCCCTCAATTACTCAGTGGATAAATATAGCTAAAGCTCTTATTCCCTTTGAAGCCTACTGCTTGAATGTGTGACATGTTGAGAGAAGTTGTGTGTGAGTGTTTTTTTTTTGTTTTTGTTTTCTAGAGAGCCAGGGAGAAGAGGGATTGGTTGTCAGGTGGGCACCCATGTGCACCGGGTGGAAGGTGGACTCTTTAGTTTTTACCCTGGCATTGACTTTTGTTAGGATATTATTATAACATTATTTTTTTATAGGAGCCCTGAGATGTGGGTTCAGGAGTCTGATTGGAAGGGGTGGGTAGGGTGGGACATCGAGAGGGAATTTCTCTGATATTGCAAAAGGTTGAAGAATATGGATTTTAATGACTACTCCCACATTTACCCATGTAAAATTCTTTTACGGTGTTGTTATTTTTTTCTTTGTTCTGATTAATTATCCCGACATGTCAAATCCCAGCCTGTGCATTTAAAAAATATTTCTCTTTTATATATTGACTTATCATGCTAATGTTGGGTGCATGAATAGTTATCGGATGGGGTTTGAAGGGGTGTGGGGTGTAGCAAGAACCTTGCGATAAGAGAGTGACTGAGTTTTTTTTTTATCTCCTTTTCTGTTTTAATGAGTGTATGGCATCAGAAGATCTATATTAATATATTGTATGTAGCTTGAATTGTGTGATTGCATTCTATTTATTTTGTATTATCATTTGGTTGGTTCGTACTGGAGGATTGGAAGCATGTGTCCAAAAAACAAATCCAGTAGGTGATCCCTTAATGATATTTCTGTCTATTTACATATGCATTTTTAAGAATTATAGGTCCTTGTGGAGTAAAGTCAGACGGGATTAGGCTTTTCAAAATCAAAGTACAAGATCGTTCTTTAGTTTCTTCGCACAAATACAACAAAAATGCAGTTAGTGTAGGATCCTCGGTGCTGTACTGAACCTACCAGGCCCGTTATTGCTAATGCACGCCAGCGATGAACTATTTTGACCTTTGCCCTCAGAGTCGCCAAGCTTCGAGAGCAAAGTATTCATTAACCACCAGCAGACCAATGAATGATGCTAATGGAACCGGCTACTAATTTGTTTATTAGGCAATGCCTTTCCGTTCCAAAAAACATGTATTTACAATTAATACCGCTGTGTTTAGGATGTCATAGTGGAAGATGCACACTTCCCCAACAGATAAACGTTGCATGCTCGCACAAATATTAGGCCAAATGCAGAGTTTGCTACAGCCACATATTACATTGCAACACGAATGTGAAACACAACGTCCCATTGCATGGGTGAATGGAGCCTGCTTTCCAAATGAACAGGATTCTTCTGTTCTCTAATATAAATATTACATGGCTGCCATTCTAAAATGGAATGATTAGGGTCTTAGAAATAGCAGGAAAGGATCAGCAGGAAAAAAAACGTCTGTTTTGTGTGTACGTAGTGTTTATTAACTACCCATATGTAAGGAGAAAGGTGCGACGTGGTCTGTCATCCTTTGAGTGAATCCTTTTTTTTTTTTTTGTAAAAGGGCTGAAATGACCATTTCGTATTTATCCTCAATGTTGTCCAGCAGTCTTCCCTCATAATGTCTTTTGATGTGCACATTTTTCCGTGATTTATATACAGTCCCTTGACTTGCAAGACTTGTTGAAAGCAACTTGGTGGATGTATCCAATTTGAAGCCCTGGTAATGACCTTGCTGCTTTATTAAGGAAATAACCTGAGCTTTAATTAGCACCGTCTGTGCTTGCGGCATTATCCTCAGTGGGGCTGCAAGCTCAAGAGGGCTTTTGTGAAAGGCAGGTGTAAGTGGCTCAGCGAGCTGGCATCCTGACAGTCTTTTAATGAGGGTTTGGATCTCATGCTTTTTGTCTGCTCCGTTTGCTGGAGGATAATCCTACCTTTCTAGGGTTTGAGTGTTAGGGATACAGATGGGTGAAGGCCATGTCAGTGTATGGGAATGCTCGACTCCAGTTCCTGGTGAGATTCTTGTTGTGTGGTGGGCATAAAACTGTGAATGTAGTCAACCGCTTGACTATGAGCTCCAGTGGGTGGAAAGCCAGTTGGTCACCTGTAACGTTGCCTTCAGTGTCTTATCAGACTGTTGGCACTGTATGCCAGTGCATTATCCCTTCTATGCTAGCAATGATTAACCGTCGACATTGCATGTTATTGAGCAAACTAGAGAAGTGACTTCTTCCTTACATGTAACTGATGAAGAATTGCCTTGATTTTAGTGAAGGTGTTGAGATTCATATTTCTCCCAGTAGTTAATCAGAAGAACATTCGGATGGGTGATGTGAGTTTCAGCTCAGACGTATTCGGCAGTACGTTAACCAGCATTCATGAATTAATTTACCAGCGTGCCCAGTCCCCCAGAGACACCACCAGATACCTTTTTGTTTTCTTTTTAAATTTAGGATTGTATGATGTGTATGAGTAAGTATAAAACCAATAAAACCACAAAGTTTATTTTAAATTTACACAATGTCTTGTTTCTTTTATTTTGTGCACATATTTGCTCAGACCACCTAAAGCAGTTTTCAACCAGAGGGGTGCAATAAGTCCTAAAATTATCTAAATGTAGTTATATAAACAGAATGTTAGAAGAATACTAAAAATAATGATGTACAACATTAAACTAACATTTCTGAGCTTATATTTATAAAACAAGTATCAGCTGTACATATCAGCTTAGATAGGACAACTTTTGAATAGTCTTGGATAAAAAGGGGCCTTGCAGTCAAAAAGGTTCATAACCACTGATACACACTTAAAAGTAAAAGTTCCAAAGTTTTCATAGCAGTGCAATAGAGCAACCATTTTGGGTTTCCAAAGAACCTTTCTGTTAACAGTTCTTGGACCATTTCTTTCTTAGCGTGAAGAATATTTAAAAAATCTGAAGAACCTTTTCCCACTATAAAGCACCTGACATGTCTTCAAGCAGATTGTTGTTTCATGCTGTGATATTAGATAAGTAAACAAGGTCTGTAAGCTGTATTGTTGCCACATCGGCAGCTGCCCACCTCAGCCTGTTTCACCACAGACAGCTGGCTACTGTCTGTGGGCCCTTATGTGGTTTTTAGTAACTGGATTTAAATGGGTTGACATGTATCTGTTAGATTTAATGTTACCACGTGATTCCATTGTATTCATTTCCACTTGGCACTTTGTAGGCTTGTTAAATGAGTGAAAGGAAGTAAAAGGAAGTTTTTTTTTCAGTTCCATATAAAACAATTCATGTTCTCTCTGCCTGGAAGTGCCGGAAAGATGATCTCTTCTTCGTAAAGGTATGACAGCATCTCCACCCTTTCTCACTAGTGAACTCGGTTATCCTTGGTATTCAAAAGTCTTACATGTAAACTGACTTGATTATCTTTCCCTTTTTTTAAGACATGGGACAAAACAGGCCACACAAGCAGACAAAAAACATAATATTCACTTACATTTTTATATATTTTTATACATTTTTAAATTAAACGCATTAAAGGCTATTTATGGAAGGCTTTTAAAGAATGAAATGATTGTTTTCATAAGTATGTTGAGAAAAGTTAATTTTGTGTAGCTTTTCTAACTTAATGTGATGTCCGTTTGCCCACTGTTACTTCATAACTCTTGTCATTTTTTCCAATTGCAATAATAATAAAAAATGTTGAGAAAAGTTAGGGACACAGCCTTGTATCAGTAATAAGTGCATTGTGTGATTTGGAATGAAATGGTTGGGTATACAATACACATCTAAACTTTATTTAAATATAAGTTTACAAAATTTTGCTTAGTTTGCATATGCTTGACTATATATATATATATATATATATATATATGTCAAGCATATGCAAACTAAGTAAGCAAAATGTTTATGGGACGATATTGCGTAAAATGTTCCATTTTCTCGCTTTATTATCTATATATTGTAAAAATACAGAACAGGGTATGTATGGTTTTATGATTGACAGCAGGTTAAACGTCAACCTTTTCATTAATTCTTTTTAAATTCACAAATATGTAAATAAAAATATATTACATTTTATGATCTCTGAAATTAATCAAAATCTTCTGTTCATCAGCTGTCAGGCAGATTTTACATCGCTACGCCAGCAGATCTGACAGAAGTTCCTGGGATGCTCCTCCCTCGAAGTCCCGTTAGCGTAATTTCCGGATGCGGTACAGTCACAGTGAAGAGCAAAGACATTTTAAAAGCAGGAATATCATCCACTCTGCATGTTCTCTGCACCGTGGACTCGTCGATGTATTTAAAAAATATATTTCAAAATGATTTTATTTCGTCTTTTTAATGAAGATTATTTTTAAACAGTTAATTTTTTGTCTTTTTATATAGATTATTGTATGTTTTTAAACAGTTAAACAGTTTATATTTTAATTGTCATTTAAGCCTACTGCGTTATTATACAATGTCATGTTTGAAAATGCCATTTATTACTCACTTTAGCCTTCAACACAACAGGTTTTTAATCCAAGTTTACTTACTACTCCCCAGCTCTATAGCGCCTCCTACTTCAAACTATAACAGTGAGACGCAATGAAGAGTGGGAAGGCTAACAAACATCTTTGACTGGAATGGAAAAAACACACAGCTCTATTAGCCTATAACAGCAGATTATTACATTGGCAGGACGGTAGCCGGGAATCAACTCGGAACGACAAACCGGAAATCAAGTTTTATTCCTGGAGAGCTCAGTTTTTTATTTTCGGATGAGAAATGTCCGCGGCGGCGTCCTGGCCTTTATTTGTTATCTGAGAGGAGTCGTAGCTGACTGCTAGCTGGCTAACTCCCCCCTACCCCCTTACTACGAGCTAGCTACTTAGCGACAGAGGTGTGAAAATATAAAGAAATCCGGCTGTGGTCAAGAGAACGACACGTATGTGGACAAATATATACTTTAATGTGTTTGTTAGCAATATATTGTTCGTTTGCAGCTGAAATGAGGTGTAAATGTTGAGTAAGCGATGAGCGGGTCTGTTGGGACTGATGTGACCACTGGTGAATATTTTATTGGAGCCTCTTAAACCGGCAATATCAGACAATATATATTATTTATATTTGTAGTCTATAAAGTGTCAAATAACAGGTAACTTTAGACTATTAGTTTTAAGCTGGAAGGACAGTATAGCTGGGAGATAGGTTTACTTGATGCCTGAGTTAATTCTACCTGGGTATTACTTATTAACCATTTGTTTACTTTTGAAGCTTTTTACCTTTCTAAGAATTGGTAGAAAAATTTGCATAAGAAATATCTAAAGAAAAGAAAGAGCTCTGTCTTATTTTTCTTTTTCAAAAGAAGCCTGAATATAGTATTGTTTTTTAAAATAATTACTCCGTAAATTACATGTTAAATTAGTTATTTATTAAGTATTTTGTTTTAAAAACGTTTTAAACAGAAAAAAATCAACAGCACTTTTGAGAAATATTCAAATTATGTACATTTACACGAGATCATATAAGTCTTCTAGAGAAGGCTGTTTTATTGTATGTTGAGAGGGTTGCCCCTCATGGGGGCCGCCATGTTTAGATCACGTGACCAGTGGTGTCATTTAACAATAATAATATATTATACAATTTACTATTGTTACTCCAAATATAATGTCCATACTACAGAGGCCAGTTGAAACTTAATTAATGTGAGTAGAAAAATACATAAAATGGTTTGTGTTGAATATGTATTGACCACAATCTCCTGTCATCTCTCTTGCAGCTGACAATGAATGGCCTTTCTGTGAGTGAGCTGTGCTGCCTGTTCTGTTGCCCCCCCTGCCCCAGCCGTATCGCTGCCAAGCTTGCCTTCCTGCCTCCTGAGCCTACCTATGCCCTCCTGCCTGATCTGGAGACCGGGCCGGTACCTGCCAGACCCACGGGGACGTCGGGCCTCCGGTCCCGGGGAGGTGGTGGTGGTGGTGGGAGTTCGGTAGGGGGAGGGAATGCCACAGGAGAGGGGCGCTGGAAGCTCCACCTTACAGAGCGGGCAGACTTCCAGTATTCCCAACGGGAACTGGATGCCACGGAAGTGTTCCTGACTCGATCTAGTAGGGGGAACAGAGTGGGCTGCATGTATATCCGCTGTGCCCCCTCTGCCAGGTAGGATGGGTGCATTTTAGTTACGATTGGAGGAGCTTAATTGACAGTTTTTTTTTGTTTTTGTTTTTTTTCACAATAATATACGTTGAACTCAAAATGTCACGTTTCCTCTGATGGACCCCCCTTTTCCTACAATGGGTCATTTACATTCCTTCATTATTTTTCCATTTTCCTTTGTCCCGTTTCCTGCTTCCCTCTCTGAGTTTGTCTGCTATCTTTACCAGAAGCCACTCCTTCCTGGACACATTCTTTCTTTATCACGCACCACTTTATTCCCACTGTTGTTACTTGTTCCTTTGTTGCTTTATTTCCTTTTTAAGAGTGATTTTCATAGGATGAGTACAGTTGTTTTTTGTTGTGGTCAATATTGTGGACGTCTTCACTTTACTACACAAAGTACCCGTTAATTTCTTTTTGAAAGTCTGGCTTTGATATAATATTTTTATAGTTGGAAACTAAAACTATTCAAAATTGTTTTCTTTAATTGAAATAAAGCTGAAATAATTTATAAATATTTGATGGAAAAACTGAAAGAAAAAGTATAAGTTGAAGTATTAAAATGACTAAAACTGAAAATTAAAGCTAAATAGAAATGTTAAGACAAAATCTAATAAAAAAGACAAAATCACTTAATAAAATACTAAAACTAAAAAATTAATTGAAACTGAAAATATGAACTTAACTAAAATAAATAAAATTTTAAAAATACTATAAAACTATATACTATATAAGTAATTCTAAAATAACACTGCCAGTTTTTTTCTTTTGCCGCCGGATTATTTGGATACTCTGGTATTATATGATTCTACACACACACACACACACACACACACACCCGTGTTAGTTATGAAATCATTCCCTGCAGCATATCGGGCTCAGGCTCACTGCAAATGCGCCTACATGCCCAGTGATTCAGCGAGTAAAATTATAGGTTATTAAGTCTCTTTGTGGACACATCTTGACTTGGATGTTGAGTCAGACCTTGAAATAGTGTAATGAGAGTGACTTTATACTTCAAATCCCATCACCCCTTTTGTCTGTCTCTCTCCTCAGGTTCACTGTCTTGTTCTCCCATGGTAACGCAGTGGATCTAGGCCAGATGAGCAGCTTCTATATTGGCCTGGGCACTCGCATCAATTGTAACATATTCTCCTATGATTACTCCGGCTACGGGGTCAGTACGGGGAAGCCCTCAGAAAAGAATTTGTATGCAGACATAGACGCAGCGTGGCAGGCTCTACGCTCACGGTGAGACATGAAATCAATACCAGGGCTCAACCAAAACAACTGCGTGACTGTTGTAGAGTTCAAGTTTTACAGTGCTGCATCTTAAAGGGATAGTTCACCCAAAAATGAAAATTTGATGTTAATCTACTTACCCCCAGGGCATCCAAGATGTAGGTGACTTTGTTTCTTCAGTAGAACACAAACAAAGATTTTTTAACTCAAATCGTTGCAGTCTGTCAGTCATATAATGTAAGTGAATGGGAATCACGGCTTTGAGAATCAAAAAAACATACACAAATTAAACCCTGTGGCTCGTGACGATACATTGATGTGTAAAGACACGAAACGATCGGTCTGTGCAAGAAACTGAACAGTATTTATATCGTTGGATAATAGCTGCTGCCTGTCTGCCAGGAAGCTGTTGATCCACTGACAGATGGAGATGGGCACGGAGAGCTGAGATAGTTTGGGCAGGAGGAGGTTTGGGATTTGAGGCATTTGAGAGATAGGTGGCGGTAATGCACTTTTATAAGTCTGCGATCTGCTTTAAAGCAAGAAGAAGAAGAAGACGCGAACGCACTCAGGACAGTTTGGACGTTGCGTGAATCAGAGGTGAAAAACTATATAAATACTGTTCAGTTTCTCGCACAGACCGATCGTTTCGTGTCTTTACACATCAATGTATCGTCACGAGCCACAGGGTTTAATTTGGTTTTGTTTGTGTATGTTTTTTTGACTCTCAAAGCCGTGATTCCCATTCACTTCCATTATAAGACTGACAGACTGCAACGGTTTGAGTAAAAAAATCTTAATTTGTGTTCTACTGAAGAAACAAAGTCACCTACATCTTGGATGCCCTGGGGGTAAGTAGATTAACATCAAATTTTCATTTTTGGGTGAACTATCCCTTTAATGTGTAATCTAGACAACTGTTAAAAAGTCAGTAAGATATTTTTTAAGATATTAATAGTTTATTCTGTGTGGACCCATTAAATTGATCAAAAGTGACAGTAAAGATATTTATAATGTAACAAAAGATTTCTGTTTAAATGCTGTTCTTTTGAACTTGCGACTTACCAAAAAATAAAAAATAAAACATAAACAAAACGTATGTAACCTAAAATAATACCTATTGGTTGAACATTTTAGTTTGTTAGCCTAGTCTTTCTTAAAAGTGCGAAAAGAATCCTTAATGGGATCTGTAAGAAACCATTAAGTGGAATACGAACCAGAATCGTTAAACTAAATGAACAGAGCACAATTTGTTTTCAATCAGGAATGCGAATTTACTCAAAGGCTGATGTAGGGCTGGACGATATGGCCAAAATTGATATCACGATATATTTCTTAATTTCGGACGATACGATATAATTTCGATATCGATATGAACACTATTTATCTGAAATAGAAACCTTGAAGACAGTCAATTCCCTTCAGAGATACATTCATATAAAACACCCGCGCCGTGTTATGATTTTGAAACGTGCAGTGCTCATGTTTATTCAACGAAGTCAAACGGCACAAATAAATCAATGTATGGGAAACTGGTAATGTATATCGAAATATCGGAAATGTTTAAAAATCATATCACCGTTATTGAAAAAAATTATATCGCGATACATATTGATATTGAATTATTGTCCAGCCCTAGGCTGATGAAAATTCACACTGCACTCTGTGTGAATAGTTTTAGCACAATTTTTTGCCAGCAATCTGTAATTTATACTGCTCTTGGTGTGAATAGGCTGCAGATCACATTGACATGAGACAGTTATTTGTTTGGTATGTGACATTTAATTAGCTTTTGATTCCTCTATTTCAAACAGATACGGCATCAGCCCGGAAAATATTATCCTGTATGGACAGAGCATTGGCACAGTGCCCACGGTGGACTTGGCATCACGATATGAGTGTGCGGCTGTGATTCTCCACTCCCCTCTCACCTCTGGCATGAGGGTGGCCTTCCCTGACACTAAGAAGACTTACTGCTTTGACGCATTTCCCAAGTGAGTACCAAAAAACGTTGGGTTCCTATTTGTCCTCAATTATTTGTGTCATTACCATTTTATTGGAGGTTTGACAGGGCATCATCATTGCAGTTTGTTTATGAGCTGATGATTTGCCTTGTCATGGCCAGCACAGATTGCTGCTATTTATGAGCAATTCACTGGGTTTTGGTTTTGGCGAGAGCAAAAAGAGTGGGTTGTGATGTGGATTGCTGGTGGGGATTATACTGAGCTTCTTGTTTCGACACAAAATGCATCTGACTATCACACATTGAAATATATAGCCTAGATGCAAAACATTTTTCAATCTTAGAATTAGACCTTCAGCACTTGATTAAAGGAAATAAGGCTTTTTTTTTTTCTTCATGTTTCATTACAATCATTTTCATTGTTGCATGTCGGCTGTGAGGGAGGTTGGCTCTACATTTGGTGTCACTCAGTGCCAGTGTAGCAGAACACATGGTCGCCATACAGCTTCAGTCAAAACCACCACTGTTCTCGCACAACTGCTGTGTAGTTGGCAGGCAGCTGTTTAGTTTGCTGGCACCCACACACACATACACACATGCATACAACACATACACCACTTGAATTTACAAAATGTAGTTAGCTACATAACAATTTGTAATTGTTGTTATTATTTATAAGTATTTGTATGTACTGTTCAGAAATTTGTAGTTAGAGTATGTAATTTTTTTGGTGCTGACCAAAATTAACAACAGTAGAGTAAAAACAGTAATATCGGGAAATATTATTACAATTTAAAATAATAAATATTTCTATTGTCTTATATTTTAAAATGTAATTGATTCCTGTGATGACAAAGCTGAATTTTCATCAACCGTTACTCCAGTCTTCAGTGTCACATGATCCTTCAGAAATCATTCTAATATGCTGATTTGCTGCTCAAAAAACAGTTCTTTTAATTATCAATGTTGAAAACAGTTGTGCTGCTTATTTTTGTGGACACTTGTGATAGATTTTTCACCATTATTTGAATAGAACAGCATTTATCTAAAAAAAAAAAGTATCATTATAAATGTCTTTACTGTCACTTTTGATCAGTTTAAATGGGTCATTGCTGAATAACAGCATTAATTTCTTACAAGAAAAAAAAAAATGCTGACCCAAACATTTTAAAGATAATGTATATACTACTATTACACATTATGTATTCAGCTGTGTTAAATTATAGAGTACATTTAAAATATCTGTCAAAAAAAGTCAACATCACAATTTGAGTGACATCAAAAATGACGAATTAAATACAACTGATAAATTCGAAATAGCTAAATTTTGAGCTATCGCGCTACTGAAAATTTAGTTGGAGCTGAAATTAATCTATGGGGTTTCATTGATCATATATGTCAAGTGTGAAATGAACTTTTCAATCTATTAATAAAGTATTATTTTTCTCTGTGTGTATTGGGGAAGTTGTTTTTCTTCTAACACCCTGTGTCCAATTGTGTGTCCCTATTTCAGCATTGAGAAAGTGTCTAAAATCACGTCTCCAGTGTTGATCATCCATGGGACGGAGGACGAGGTGATAGATTTTTCCCACGGGCTGGCCCTGTACGAGCGCTGCCCCAAAGCCGTGGAGCCGCTGTGGGTGGAGGGAGCCGGACACAACGACATCGAACTGTACAGCCAATACCTGGAACGCCTGCGTCGTTTCATCGGGCAGGAATTGGCCGCACAACACGCCTAAGCTCTCCTCCGTCTCCCTCTTGTCATCCCACCATCTCCCAGTCTGAGCAAAAGTGTGATGGATGCGTCAGTAACTTATTGAAGGCTGCCATTTTGTATGGACAACGTTACTGTTGGGGCAGCTTGACAGATGCTCCACTGCTCAGATTTGTTTTCTTAAGTGTTTTCTTTTTTCTCCCACCGTTTGTCGTCTCCTTGTACATGTGAGCGTGCATGTGTGTACGTATGTGTGCGCATGGGAACTCTGGGGGATGGAAGTGGAATTACTCTGGGGCAAGATTGAAAGGATGAATTCCTCTGCCGGTTTCAGTCCAAAGGAAATAAGCCAGAGTCAGACGCTGTCCTGTACCTCCAACCTGATGCTGTTTCTCAATATCTGAGCATTCATTTGTCAGTTGAGTGGTTCGCTTCTCCGACCTGCTCCCATGATGCCTCAGCCTGAGAGATTTTCACTTCCCACTTCTCGTCAGGCAACCTAAAATAGCTAAATGTCAGAGCCTGGCAAATGTCCTAACCTTGCTGACCCTGTAGGATGAAATAAATCCTGAAAGAATTTCAGGATTGAGTTTCGAAGCGTCCTACACAGGTGCAATGATGCCCACCTCTGCATCTTCATTCATTCTTCGAACCATTTGGCTTCCTCTGGATGGCTCTTGTGCCCAGGCGTGTGGGTCTGTTCTCTCATATACCCTGCAGGATGCTGACCTCTATGCACTGACGTTCCCTTCCAATGAGTTTTTGCCTTTATGTGAAAGCTGAGCTTGGGATGAGATGACACCTGATGATCTACACGGCTCCAGGCAGGGAAAGCTCGAATGCTGGGATGCTGGCTTTTGTTTCCAGCTTTATCAGTCTATTTTTTTTCTCTTTACTGTTTCTTTCCTTTCTTCTCAGCATGTGAGGGTGTCCATAGCACCCTGAGGTGAAAGAAACTGGGAGGGCTGCTCGCTCATCATCACATTTCAATGAAAACACCACACTTGGGATGACATGATACAGTGTATATTCACGTCCAGATCCATACGTCATGTTTCTGAACTGTTGGGCCAGTAGAAAGATCAATGTTTCATTATCATGTTGGGACTTTCCTAAAGCCAGATCTTCGGCGTAGCATTTCCGCCTTCATTCTCAAGTAGTTTAACATTTTAAATGGGTTTTGGGTTAATGTTTTAATTGTGTAAGAATGAGTAATGCACACAGGAAGCAGTCAGAGGTAAAAACACAAATTACTTATGAACCCTGTTGCAATGACACACAACTCGCAACCAGTTTTTCTCGTTTTTAGCCTGACGTCGGGTATGTTTCTCTTGTTGGCATTCAAATCGGAGCTCAAGCGATAATTGTGCATATTTACTCTTGTCTCCTTGTTGATTATGTTTAAGCAAATCATTTCAAAGCAGAGCTCATCATTTAAAGACTCTTCTTAATGATAATAAAGGATTACCCTTTTTCATTCAATGTCAAATTGCTAGTTAGTGGCACATGGTTTAATCCATCTAAGTAATGTTCTGAGCTGTGGTGGATTTAAAGATTATAACTAGCAATAAAGACATAACAATGAGGTCATCTAAAACCTATTTTTGCTGTCTCTAGTCAAGCTTCTTGTCTTCAAAGGGAGTTTGTCTGATATGATCTGGATGCAACTATGACTCTTAAAGTTATCAGTTTGTATTATGGTTAGGAAGATTGTAAAAGCTTTGAAAAACACTAGCCGTGAATTCAAAATCATGTCTTTCTTTCCATCTAAGCTTTTCAACTGAATTATCAAGGGAACTTGCTGCTATAGATCTCGATTGAACGATCTCAGTGAAATTAAAAGGGCCGAACCCTGCAACCTTTTGTTGTTTTCCGATGCATCAAAGACTACCAAGCCTTTTCAGTGAGAAGACATTGATTCCTCTTTCTGGCGGGAATCCATTCTTGCCCTTTTAACACCGTGGGCTGCACAGCCATTCTGGACTCCACACAACAATTTGTTTAATTAGATTAATTAACTTCAATATCTTGTCAGGGTAAGTTTTTGCTAGACGAGTACTGATTTTATGGCACCAGAGCTGATTAGACATCAAATTTCATCTCTAGATATCCCGTTGATTGTCTTTTTTTCTGGTTAACCTTTATCCATCCACTCCACTTGGTCTATTATTATGTGCTCTGGTTAAACTGACTCCCATTAATGCACAAAACACAGTCATTCTGTATTCCGAAAACACTGGTTTGTACATAATATCTGAAACCTAATTCCAGGAAATCTGGTTCCATGTTTCATCATGCATTTAAGTATGTAATCTGAGGTTGGACACGAGGCTTGTTCTTTCTACATTCTAACCAAAGATGTCAGGTGTTGGAGTTGCAATGGCCACCCACTGCCATTTGTCAGCGCTCCGATGTTGATTGAAGGAGGAGGCGGCAGACTTTGGCTGTTTGGACAGAGCCAGGTCTCACACAATACAGGCTGCTGTTGATGACTCGAGGGGAAGTTTTTGTGTGGACTGTTGGTGCGTGTTTACCTCCTGTAAGACACAAGTGTTTGGAGCTTCATTCTCCATTCTAACCAAAGATGGCAGCTGTTGGAGTTGCAATGGCCGCCCACTGCCATTTGTCAGTGCTCAGACGTTGATCGAAGGAGGAGGCGGTGGACTTTGGCTGTTCAGACAGAGCCAGGTCTCACACAATACAGCCTGCTGTTAATGCCGCCGAGGGGAAGTTTTTGTGTGGACTGTTGGTGCGTGTTTACCTCCTGTAAGACACAAGTGTTTGGAGGGCCGAAGCAATATCGACTTGGAGCCAGCAGACTGGATGTGTGGATGCTCTGTGTGTGCATACGAGAGGGGAGGACGTTGGTTTGGGGTGGGGCTGCAGTTACCCAGAGGCTCCATCCCAACACATTCAGATTCAACACTTTTTATTAAGAAAGTAAGTTATAGAAATGTCTTTTTAAAACTCAGATGTACGTATTGTATAACATTGTTTGAGAAGCTTAATCTTGAGGTTTGAGAATCTGTTTTTTTTTTTATCTTAATGGATCGGGAGCAAGAGTCATTGGGGTGTTACTATTCTATCCTTTTATGCATTATTCTAATGTTGTCTTTTTCCTTTTCCAAAATAAAAAAAAAAGAGATCTTAGAAAAAATTATGAACTGATAATCTTTTTTTTTTGTAACAGCAAAGGAACATCAAATTTATATAGCAATATATTATTTATTGTTTTACACGTGTATATATATATATATATATTGGTTAATATGCTTAAATTAATTGATAATCATTGTAAATTATTATAATCATTTCATTGTCAAATTATTGTAAACCTAACATCGCACATGCAGGAGTGTCATATTTATACAGCAAAATATTTACATTTAATATTTTATGTATTTTTACGTTACATTACACTTATTTACTTTTAATACATTATAATTAGATAATTATTTCATATTTTTAAAATAATATTTGATGTATTTAATCTTGAATGTGATGAATTGGTAATTTAATAGGAACATCACCTTTATACGCAGATGTATTTATTTTATATCAATTATATTAACTAATTATATTTAAATACATTTAATACATTTATATTTAAATATCTTCTATATTATTTAACCTTGAACTTGACCATATGAATTGATCATTATTGTAAACCTATTTTCATGTAACATGCTAGATCTGTATGCTGAAGACGTAATACATTTAGAATAATTTAATACATTTACATTTAATACGTCTCTTGTATTTTAAAATGTGATATCCATATTTAATATGAACTTGAAATTATGAATTATTAGCTATTGTAAATCTCTTTTCTTATAACTGCACTCAGGAACATCACATTTATATGGTGATCTATTTTACAGGCTGAGCTGGGCTGAGTTTCCCAGAATCCTTGGGCTACAAACATCCTCAGGAATCGTAAAACGATGGTAGTAGCTCAGCTGCATATTACATTGTGATCCTCAACTCCTGTGGCACAGACATTAAATTCCAGCAATCAATGATGAGGCTTTTATAATTCAAGGCACAGAGAGAAACATTCTGATGTGTGAGCATGACAGATAACACTCTGTTGCCGTTGGCTGTGTTTTGTTTATTCATCATTTAGCTGCATTTTCTTCTCCTCAGATTCATCAGTTAATGCCAAACTGGTCTCAAAACTCCTGATTTGAATCTTCCTATGCAAAACAAACCAGTACAAGAGGGTATGCATGTGGGCGTACAGAGAGAACAGAGTCGCTGAGGCTTTCTGGAACAACAGATGGGTTCTGTTATTATCTGTAACAAAAAAAAACTCCAATTATCTGCCTCGTTTGAATTACTGCCCTGCAAGCTTTGGCATGACCCAGACTATCAGTAACAGCTACAGTCAAGAGGCATTAGTACTGCCATGGGATTTAAGGCCTTCTATTAAACACACACACATGCCTACTTCTGAACATGTATGTGGATATGCACACAAAACCTTGTTTCTACAGTCTAATCACACTTGGATTATTCCCACAATACCAATTTGCTTACATTCAAATGTATCACATTAGTTTGAGACTTGCTGTAGATGTGATATGCCAGATACATGGAACATTAAAGGAATATTCCGGGTTCAATTCAAGTTAGGCTCAATCTACAACATGGGGCATGAAGTTGATTACCACAAAAATAGATTTGGACTTGTATTTGATTTGGTAACAGTCAGGTATTTACAATGGAAGTGAATGAGGTCAAGCAGTTACTGTATTGCCACAAAATGTCAACCACATTTTAATGTGGACAAATCGCTTACAAACCTTTGTTGCCATGACAACATAACGCCTAAAATAAGCCAACAATTTTTTTGTTGAAAATTCAGATTTCCAGTTTTATGCATGTTCTATGTTAGGCCTAACTCGTTGATTATTGTCGGTGCAGTGCAAGTTTTGTAATTGTATGTCTTTATTTCAGCACACTCCAAAGGTAGATAGATGACTGGACGAAAATAAGACATTTATCATTGGTAGCTTCAGGAGACCTGATTGTTTTTTGGCATATCTATATCTTCCTTTGACTCTTGAGTTTGTATGGAAGTTTGCCTGAGGCTTGCTAGGGGGAGATGCAGTGCAGATTTCACATCCGACCACTAGGGGGCACTCACTACATTCTCAATGCACTGAGACACACATTCAAATTGCTAATCAACTATTCTGTTAGACATAAATGTGAAAGAAACTATGCTTCGTTAGTGTGTTGTACGTCAAACTTAAATGATCTGCTAAAAAACAACGTAAAACAACCTTTTCAACTGATACCTACTCTCAAAGCTACTTCCAGCATTATTTATGCAATCAGGAAGGGCATTTCCATGATAAATCTATATGGGACATAAATAAAGAGTTTAATTTATAGACCAGATCTGACAAATGTGAATATATCATATGAAAAGTATCATAAACAGCATAGTTTCTTTCACATTCCACTTTTTAGTGCCATATTTACATTTGTCAGATCTGCTATAAAGATGAAGCTCTTTATTAGAGATGATGGAAGTAGATTTTAGAATAGCTATCAGTTTAAAAAAAAGTTTTTTTAAAACATTATTTTTTAGCAGTGGGATCCAGCACACTAACAAGGCAGCACGTTTGATATTTGATTCATGCGATTTGATGTTTGCATTGACTTTCTTTTACTACATGCTGTAATTAGCATCATTGGAAAAACTCTTCCTTCCACACCACAGCCACAAAATATGTGTTTGCACTTCATTACAGTGTTTCATATCTTCACTGTCATCTGAGGTCTGCATCTCTTTGCCATTAAAGAAATCTGTGCTGCAGTCTCACTGTGGAGGGGGAAAAACATCAGAAGTATGTGTTTAGTCCTCACTGTGTCTGTGCCTGTGTCTACCACACTGCTAAACATACAAACATATCCCAGAGTGCTTGTGAAAATAGATAGATCTTTTCATGGAAACCAACCAAGCTGGAATATTACATGTTGCATTTGTCACGGTTATTATTTTGTGTATTTTTCTTGAATGGTCTTGAGCATTTTTTCCCAAGACTAGCTACGGCCCCCGAGGCCAGCGGTGTCATATGGTTCTGCTTTGCTCATATTTAGCTTTGTTTGGTCGATTTATTGTGGTCCAATTTGACCTGGACATTGGGTAATTGAAGATTCGGGGACAGTCGGCAAAATGGATGCAGTGCCTGTGGATATAGAGTTATTCCTGCCCTCTTTCCAATATTGACAACCTCTTATGCTGTAATCCACTGTTGTATTTGTTTAGAACTGTTTTGGACTGTTTCTGCTTGTAAACTACTTGATCTGTTCATGTTTTTCTCTTGATGATTTTCAGATGAGAAAGATTTTTGCACTGGAGAAAACTTTATTTTGGACAGAGGACTCATATTTTAGCAATGTATGGCTTACTTGTGGATTATTGTGATGTTTTTATCAGCTGTTTGGACTCTCATTCTGACGGCACCCATTCACTGCAGAGGATCCATTGGTGAGCAAGTGATGTAATGCTAAATTTCTCCAAATGTGTTCAGATGAAGAAACAAACTCATCTACATCTCGGATGGCCTGAGGGTGAGTAATTTTTCATTTTTGGGTGAAATATTCCTTTAAAAAATTTTTTTTTTGTTTAGAATAGTAACATTATTTCATTGCCATTGCATGAATAGTGTTTATTAGCATGCTTATTTGTTTTCTTCGTATTTTCAGCTCCAGTTTGTGAAGAAGAAAGCTGTTGGCTATGATTATATGCAACTTTAATCAACATTGTCTTTGCACAGAATTCAATTTTGTACCTAATGCAGTGCATAAAATGCACTTTATATGGATGAACAGAACAGATTATACTCTTTCCAGATATCAGCATCAAGGTCGCGAGAGCTGTATTGCAACCCTCAAACTCTCCGCCATCTGGTTCTGGCATGAGATGTCATCACTCTATCTTTTTATCTCACATCTTATGTCTGGAATCATGTATGTGCCGGCTACATTCGGTATCAGTAACATAGAGGTTAGAGAAACAAATCATGACAAAGATTAAATATGATACATAAACTTCTGCCCTGAGACCATCATTTAATAACATATTAGTGTGTGACCTTGGCCAGGCGGATACAGGAATTGGACCAAAACATATTTCACGTGGATGTAATATAACTTCGAAGACTTAGCCTTCATCAGCAGTAAAAAATAATTCACCTGCCACATCTGCCCCATTCATGATTTTCTCTGTGTGTGATATGATTTTGAGGCATTGTCATTTTTAAAATCATTCTGTCGTTTTACACCCTCACACATCTGCATAAATAATTCAGCTTTTTAAACAGCCCAATTCAGATACATTGAACATCGTTGAGAGCACTCTGTCTCACAATAGATTGCAAGCATGAGTTGAACACAAGTAACATGAGTAATTTAAGAACATTACTAGGCTAGATTAAAAATAATGAGAAAAAAAAGATTCAAAACTATCTTGTGTCTGTTTTCTTAGTATTTTTGACTCGAGTTTGCGAAGAAGACAGCTGCT